AGTTATAGAAGAAGAAAAATGTACCTTGGAGCAGCAGGTAAAAGTTATGGTAGCGGAATTGGCGATTGAAAAGGCTTCATCAAACCAGGCGGGCAAGGATAAAAATCTCCTTGAGTCTTATTTGCTGAGCAACTTTCCCAGGCTTCTGAGGAGATTAGGAGCTTAAAAGATTTATTGAACCAGAAGGAAACTTACTCTGGGGAGCTTGTTCAATTGCTCACATAGACTCAGGAGGATATTCGTGTGTCTTCTGACAAAGTTAAATTCTTGGAGATATCTCTTGCCCCCTGCAAGCTTCTTATGACGCAGCTTTGAACGAAAAAGATGAACTAAAAGCTGAGATTGAGCAATGGGAGAAAGATTACGAGGCTCTTGAGGATAAAGCAGCCGTTGATGTAAGTTGGGCTTTCCTGAATACCCGTCTTGAAATATTAACAGAGGTAAGCCAGGAGAACTTTGACTTAAAAGCTGAGATTGCAAAAACTAAAGAAACAATCGAGAAGGCCCAACAGAGTCAAAGTTTCTCATCACCTAAGGTTGATGTTCCCGAAGGTGATGAGATCATACATGGTAAAGCTGTTGCTTAACCCTCGCCTGCTCAAGCTGCTATTCCTCTTAGTGATGAAGCCAATCTCCCCCCCCCAATTGAGAAGTGATATTGTTGGAAGTGTTGTTTTTTTTTTATGGTGGAACAATTGGTGGTTTACCCCCGGTCCCATTTGGGGGTAAAGTTTTTGGAAAATCCCCAGGTCAATTTTGGGGTACTTTTTGTATAAATCAAGTGGGTTGGAACTAAGTTCATACTTAGTTTTAACCATCTTATAATATCATATCTTAAGTTTTTGCTCAACTTGTGTGATATTTTATTTTGAGTTTCTGTTCTACTCTTTTATTGTGCATAAAAATGCTTTAGATTTTCGTGTCTCTTTTAAACAAGCACGATTTATAAAAGAGGGCCCTTTTATGAACGACACTTAATGAAGAAGACGTCTCAACTTCATAATGGTGTAGATATACGAAAAAGAAATAGGAATACACACGTTCCTTTGAGTAGCTTTTTTAAAGAAAGTTTTTGTATCATTTGAACTTTCATAATGCTTTACATGTATTCAAGTATCATCTATGACTCTTTCGTAACTGTTTTCTTTACAACAGATTTGTAAAAATACAAGGGTATATTTTATAACTCGTGACTAAATACCGCCTTTAACCAAAACATTCGTTTACATTCACGAGTATGTTCTTTGTAGGTTTTTGAATCAGGCTTGCGTTTTTGGCTCTTGACTTCGCTCTTAACTTTCAACTTGTTGGGTAAAGTAGACCTCGGGCTTGACTTGAATTTTGACTTTTTCTAGTCTTCTTTGCCTTTCATATTATATAGTCCCCCAAGTGTTTGAGCTTTGAAGTATGAAATCTCGAGCACTTGATTATTCCTTCCTTGTGGTCCGTTTCCTGAAAAGGAAAAATATACGAGACTCGAAGGTATATACATTTTAGATAATGACTGCTTAACCTTTTAAATTTTTATCAGAAAGGTTGTAACCCTAGACCGGGAATTAAGTTGCTTTCGCGTGTCTTTCACGTCTAATATTATCATTTGGTGTGGGTTAGCTTTTTCCCTATCATCTAAAATTGTTAGTATAATTCTAACTGTACTAAATAAAAGCGTATGTAAATGATACATGACCGTGGGTATTTCTTTTGCTTAGAAATAATACTTCTTTAAATGAACAGCATTCCAGCTCGAGGGTAAGACCTTGCCATCCATGGTTTCTAATTCATAAGCACCTTTTCCAGCAATCCCTTGAAATATATAGGGTCCTTCCCAATTTGGATTTAACTTTCCTGCTCCGGCAGCTTTTGTTGATTGGAAAACCTTTTTAAGAACGAAGTCCCCAATCTTGAAGTATCTGAGGTGAGCTTTTCTGTTGTAGTATCGCTCTATAATTTACTTTTGTGCTGCCATGCGGATTAAAGCGGCCTCCCTTCTTTGCTCGAGTAAGTCTAAATTTGTTCTTAACTCGTCATTATTTGATTCCTCTATTGCCAATGTGAATCTCGTGCTCGGCTCACTAATTTCAACTGGTATTAGAGCCTCTGAACCGTAAACAAGTGAAAATGGAGTCTCTCCCGTGGCTGTTTTTGCTGTAGTTCTATAAACCCATAACACTCCTGATAATTCTTCAGGCCAATTCCCTTTTAATTTCTCTAGTCTCTTCTTCGAATTATTGATAATAACTTTATTTGTTGACTCAGCTTGTCCATTTGCCATGGGATGATAAGGTGAAGAGGTGATTCGTTTGATTTGCCAACTTTAAAAGAATTCTGTGATTTTCGAGCCTATAAATTGTGGGCCATTATCACATACGATCTCTTTTAGGACTCCAAATCGACATATAATATTTCGCCAAATGAAATCCTTCACCTTTTTTTCTCGTACCTGTTAAAAAGCATATGCTTCTACCCATTTTGAAAAATAATCCGTTAGTACTAGTAAAAACCATACCTTTCCTTTGGCTTGTGGTAAAGGCCCTACTATATCCATTCCCCATTTCATAAATGGCCACGGGGAAATAACTGGGTGTAATAATTCTGCAGGTCGATGCATATTGTTAGCATAGCGCTGACATTTATCACATTTGGCTACAAAAGTTTCTGCATCTTCTTCCATTTTAGGCCAGTAGTACCCTGCTCTGATTAGCGTTTTAACTAGAGATTTTCCACCTGCGTAATTTCCGCAATGTCCTTCGTGTACTTCTTTCATTACATACTCCATTTGATTAGGTCCGAGGCACCTTGCTAAAGGACCACCAAACATTTTGCGATATAAATTATCTCATATTAGACAGTATCAAGCAGTTTTCCGTCGAAGTGCTTGAGATTCTTTCTTATCTTCAGGTACGATCCCATACTGCAAAAAATTTACAATCTCGTTTCTCCAATCCCAGGTTAAATTATTAAAGGTTACCTCATGCTTATCCTGGTCGAGTGCTGAATGAAATAAATATATTACAATAGTATTTTCGTCACACGTTACTTCTGCTACTGAAGCAAGGTTAGCTAATGCATCTACTTCTGTGTTTTCTTCCCTGGGTATTTACACGACCTTCCATGACTGGAACTGCCAAACCAGTTCTCATGCCTTTTCCAAGTATTGTTGCATCCGAGCCTCTCTAGCAGTGTAAGTCCCCTGCATATGATTTACCACCAATTGAGAGTCACTCTTGATCACGATTTGTTCTATAGAGAGTTCTCGTGCTAGTTCCAGACCTGCAATGACAGCTTCATACTCTGCTTCATTGTTAGTAATAGGGTAACATTTAATTGCTTGCCTTATAGTTTCACTCGAAGGTGATATTAAGACAATTCCCAAGCCGACTCCTTTAACATTAGAAGAACCATCAGTAAATAAAGTCCATGTTCCTGGATTAGCTTCAGTAAAGATATGTAATTCCTTTTCTACTTCAGGAATTATATTTATGTTAAAATCTGCTAAAACCTGGGACTTTATTGCTGTCCTAGGTTGATAAGCAATGTCATATTCACTTAATTCTATTGCCCACTTGGCTAATCTGCCTGACAATTCTTGTTTATGCAAAATATTTCTTAAAGGATATGAAATTACTACAGAAATTGGATGACATTGAAAATATGGTCTCAATTTCCTAGCTACCACGACCAAGGCTAAAACTAGTTTTTCTAGATGAGGGTATCTAGTTTCAGCATCCAATAAGGATTTACTAACATAATAAATAGGAGATTGCTTACCTTTGTCTTCCCTTACTAAGACTACACTTACATCTTCTTCTGCAACAACAAAATAAACGTACAATCTTTCTCCATCCCTTGGCTTAGACAGTAAGGGAGGATTTGATAGATATGCCTTCAAATCTGTGAGGGCCTGTCGGCATTCTTCAGTCCATTCAAACTGATTCTGCTTCTTTAATACTGAAAAGAATTTAAAACTTTTCTTTGAAGATCTTAAAATGAATCTTCCTAAAGCTGCAATCCTACCTGTTAATCTTTGTACCTCTTTTTTGTTTGTGAGTACGTCAGGTATTTATTTAATAACTTTAATTTGAGCAGGATTTACTTCAATGCCTCTATTAGATACGAGAAAACCTAAAAACTTACCTGATTCAACGCCAAAAGCGCATTTTTCTGGGTTCAGTTTCATGTTATACCTGCAGAGGATCTCGAATGTAGTTGAAAGATGTTTGAAATGGTCTTCGGCTTGCATTGATTTGACCAACATATCATCAATGTACACCTCCATCATCTTCCCCAGATGTTCTTGGAACATCTTGGTCACTAACCTCTGGTACGTGGCTCCAGCATTTTTCAAGTGAAAAGGCATGACTTTGTAACAATAAGTCCCCCTGTTTGTAATAAAGGAAGTTTTTTTCTCGTCTAAGGGGTCCATTTTTATCTCATTATAACCAGAATATGCATCTAGAAAACTTAATAGTTCGTGACCTGCGGTAGCATAAATCATTTGATCTATATGCGGTAATGGGAATGAATCCTTCGGGCATGCTTTGTTTAAATCAGTGTAATCTACACACACTCTCCATTTACCATTCTTTTTAGGTAGTACCACAGTATTATCTAACCAATTAGGATATTTTACCTCGCGTATTGAACCGATCTTTAAGAGTTTCTGTACCTCTTCATTGATTACTTGATTTTTGAATGATCCTTGCTTCTTCTTCTTTTGTTTGACAGGTACGAATGATGTGTCTTCATTTAACTTATGAGTCATCACTTCCGGAGGTATACCTGTCATATCTGAATGGGACCATGAAAAATAATCCGCATTAGATTTTAAATATTCAATCAACTTACCTCTCCTTTCCGGGTTTAGCCTCGCTCCGATATGGATTCTTCGTTCTGGCCATTGCTCGAATAATGGAACAGCTTCGAGCTCCTCAATCATCGTCTTGATGTTTTCATTTTCCTCTGGCTCTTGAATTACATCTGGCCTAGAAATCCACATCGGTTTATTTTGATGTAATCTTTGTTGAAATTTGATTTACCGCATCTTTGTCACTTGTACCCATATCTGCTTGATCTGCACTCGTGTCTTTTATTTCTGCTCTCGCATCTTTTTGGCTTGAGTGTATGACTGAGTTGATGTTCCTCAAAATTTGTTGATCTTCTCGAATCTGTTGAATACCCCACTTTGAAGGGAATTTGATAACCTGATGTAGTGTTGAGGGTACATCGTCCATGTCATGAATCCATGGCCTTCCCATAATTACATTATAGGCCATATCTGTGTCAATAACTTGAAATTTTGTTTCTTTGATGACCCCTTTTGCGTAAGTGCTTAATTCAATCTCCCCTTTCGTAATGACAGTAGAGTTATCAAATCCAGATAGGGAACGTGCTTTTGGTATTACACGGTCGCCCATCAGCATCTCTTCTACAACTCGTAATAGAATAATATTCACAGAGCTACCTAGATCAATCAAGACTCGTTTTACATTAGTGTCATGTATAACTAAAGATATTACCAGTGCGTCGTTGTGAGGAACCATTAACCCATCAGCATCTGCATCATCAAATAAGAAGAGGGGATCCTAGTTCTTGAAGATTAAGGTAACTTCTTTCCTTATTCTTGTGGGTTTTGGGTTTCCTAAATTCTTTCCTTTTTTTTTTCTACTAACCAATTTCTATTCTTCCAAGATTTGGTCCTTCACTTTCCTTTTCTTTTTCTAAATCCACATTCTTATCATTAAGGGTTGTGACTAGTAAGGTTTATTAATAAATCTAAAGTTTAATGACCAAGAGTTGCTTTGAGTAAAAAAAGGCAAGAGAGACGAGAACATTAGAGGAAAAAGCCAAAGTTTGAGAGATACATAATTCTTCTAATCTTTGTTCAAGATGTTTCAAACAGGTAGTTATAATGAAAGGAGGCGAGATCGCATATGCAGTCTAGGGATCGCAGAAGCGGAAATCGCTGGGCAGAAAAGGGGATTTTCGAGGGTTTGAAGTTCATATCACAAAATTCAATTTGGAGCTAGGTGGAAAGCGAAATTTTGATGGATTTTCAGGGAGAACTATTGGGTAACGATTCCTAACTCGATTTTGATCATATTTCATTAATCTATTATTGTATTCTTTATCTAATTAAGGAATTTGAGTGAGGAAGTTGGGAAAATGAGGGAAAAGTTCCCCAACCAAGAATCTGAGTTTTGAGTGGGATTTAGGCGTTGGTTTTGGATAATTTTTGTACAAATTGGAACTCGTGAGTGAATGGGTGTTCTTGTTTGGTAGCTTTTACCCAATTCCGAGACGTGGGCCCATGGAGAGCTTTTGAGCAATTTTCTAATTTCTTGATTTAAATTTGATTTCGTTCATTAGATTAGTTTCTTGTAGTTATATTTATGTTATGTAATTGGTTTTGGCTAGATTTGGGCCATTCGGAGTCGGATATTCGTGGAAAGAGCATAATTTTAGATGAATTTGAGCTTGGTTCAAGGTAAGTGGCTTGACTAACCTTGTGGGGGGGGGGGAGGGGGAACTCCCCTTAGTATTGTTACTATTGTTGTTATGTGAGCGCCGTGTATGTGAGATGACGAGTGCGTACACAGGCTATCTCTTGTAAAACCCAAATTTCATTAAATAGTAACATGTCTTTTCCCTTACTTGAACTTATTAGCTTGTGTAGCATCCTGTTAGACAAAGAAAGCATGCCTACTTGCCTTAAATATTTACTTGAACTACGTGCAGCATGTTTAGTGGTTTTACATGCCTTCTTTAACTTGTACTTAAGATAAATTGCAAAAGTTTGTGCCATGATTATTGAATCTTGTTGTTTGGCTGCATATTTTTACTTTGTGACTACGAAACAGTATTCCAGGAGATCTCCTTGTACTGCATATTTACTTTGGGACTACGGAACGATATTCCAGGAGATCTCCTTGTCTTGCATATTTACTTTGGGACTATGGAACGGCATTCCGAGAGATCTCCCTTCAAATTTACGTTTGGGACTACGAGACGGTATCTCGGGAGATCCCCCATGTTGAACTATTGTGTTTTGAGCTGTGTTTTTTCATGATTCGTTCATTGTTATATTTCGGTCTTTATTATTGTGATATCTCCTTTGCCTTGCTTCATTTTATATATATATATATATATGTTCCAGTAGGGTACTAACCTGACCTCGTCACTACTTGACCGAGGTTAGGCTTGGCACTTACTGGGTACCATTGTGGTGTACTCACGCCCTTCCTGCACATATTTTTGTGTGCAGATCCAAGTACCTCTCATCCGCCTCATTTTAGTGCAGCCGCAGCAGCCTACCAGAGAATTCAAGGTATATCTGCACGCGCCCGCATATCCTCGGAGTCCCCATCTATCTTTTATACTGTTTTTCCTCCTTATCTCTTTAGACTATGTATAGAAGATAGTTAGAATGTTTTTTTTTCTTGGAGCTTGTGACTCGTGATTCCTGGTTTTAGGAAATATTGTGTATATTGAGTATTGGTTTTACTTGTACATGCTGAGTAGCATTATACCATTATATAGTATTTATTAAAGTTTAGCTTTTCAATTATTGTTTTATTCTCGTTATTTCGATTTTATTTGGCTTACCTAGTCGTAGCGACTAGGTGCCGTCACGACGTCTTACGGAGTGGAAATTGGGTCGTGACAAGTTGGTATCAGAGCTCTAGGTTCATAGGTATCGTGAGTCACAAGCCGATTTATTAGAGTCTCGCGGATCGGTACGGAGACGTCCGTACTTATCTTCGGGAGGCTATGGAACTGTTAAGAACAATCATACTTCTTTGATTTCCTTGTCATGCGAGTTATTGATATCAAATTCTAAAATTCTCTATTTTATTCTTTCTCACAGATAGTGAGGACCCGTACCAGGAGATCTGACGATCAGGCACCCGAGCCCCCTGCTAGAGCCGCCAGAGGTCGGGGTCACGGTAAAGGACGACCACGCGGTGCAGCTAGAGCACCTACGCGAGCTGTGACAGAGGAGCCCCCAGCAGCTCCAGCTGAAGGGCCGGCACCGGAGGTTCCTATTGCTGCTCTAGCCCTCCAAGAGACTTTAGCTCAATTCATGAGCATGTTCAGCACTTTAGCTCAGGCTGGACTGATTCCGATAGCTCCCGCCACATCTCAAGGCCGGGGGAAGGGCACAGACTCCCACAGCATGTACTCCTGAGCAGAGGGTCCAAGTTGATCAGGCCCTAAAGTTTATTCCTATGCCCCCAGTAGCTCCGATTCAGCATGAGACCAGGGTAGCTGCTTCTGAGGTAGAGCAACTTAGACTTGAGAGGTACAGAAGTACCACCCACCTACCTTCAGCGGATTAGCTTCAGAGGATACTCAGGGTTTTCTTGAGGAGTGTCATCGTATTCTCCGCACTATGGGTATAGCGGAGACGAGTGGGGTTTCTTTTATCGCTTTCCAGTTGAGGGGAGCAGCCTAATAGTGGTGGCATGCCTATGAGCTGACTAGTCTGGACGAGGCATCCTCACTCACTTGGACTCGGTTCTCAAATATGTTTTTGCGTGAGTATGTCCCTCAGAGCCTTACGGATGCTTGGCGCGCAGAGTTTGAGCAGCTGCGCCAGGGTTCTATGACTATGTCAAAGTATGCAGTCTGTTTTAGTGAGTTAGCTCGACATGCACCGGCTTTGGTTGCTACAGCCAGAGAGAGGGTTCGTCGCTTCATTGAGGGACTCCACCCCAGTATCGGGACCAGTATGGCTAGAGAGTTGGATATGGATATCTCTTATAAGCAGGTCGTGAGTATTGCCAGGAGAGTGGAGGGCATGCTTGCCTGGGACAGAGAGAAGAGAGAGGCCAAGAGGTCTCGGGAGACTGGTCATTATTCAGGAGCTCGTGCCATAGCAGCTCGCCATAGTAAGGGTTTTATGAGTCGCCCTGTTCATTCAGCTTTTCCAGCTGCCAGTGGTGTTCCAGTTCCTTCTAGGCATCAGGAACCTTATTATGCACCGCTAGTATCTAGTGTGCCTCCTACTCGGGGTGCTATTAGCGGCCAGTCCAGCAGACCTGGCCCGAGCTAATCACAGCCATCGCATCCTCCGAGGTATTGTTTTAAGCATGTGACACTCGTCATATGGTGAGGGATTGCCCCAGGCTTAGGAGAGGCGCACCTCCGCAGACTTCTCAGCCATCACTTGCTCCACCGGGTCCTCCGGCCATTCTTCAAGCCCCAGCTGCCGCCCCACCTACTCAGGCAGCTCGAGGTAGAGGTTGGGGAGGTCGAGGCCAGGCCAGGTATTATGCCCTTCCAGCCCGTTTAGAGGCAGTTACTTTCGATTCTGTCATCACAGGTATTGTCCCAATCTATCATAGAGATGCATCGGTATTATTTTACCCAGGCTCTATGTATTCATATGTATCTTCTTATTTTTCTCCACATTTGGGGGTATCTCGGGATTCTTTGAGTTCCCATGTTTATGTATCTACTCCTGTGGGAGATTCTCTTGTTGTGGACCGCGTATATCGGTTGTGTTTGATTGCTCTTAGTGGTTTTGAGACCAGAGCCGATTTATTATTGCTCAGTATGGTAGATTTTAATGTTATCTTGGGCATGGACTGGTTGTCGCCCCATTATGTTATTCTTGATCACTAAGACCGTGACGCTGGCTATTCCAGGCTTACCATAATTAGAGTGGAGAGGTGCCTTGGAGTATACTCCCCGTAGGGTTATTTCATTTCTTAAGGCTCAGCGAATGGTTGAGAAGGGGTGTGATGTGTATTTGGCCAATGTGAGAGATGTCAGTATTGATACTCCTACAATTGAGTCAGTTCCAGTAGTGAGGGATTTCCCTTATGTGTTACCAGCTGATCTTCCGAGCATGCCGCCCGATAGAGATATTGATTTTGTCATTGACTTGTTTCCGGGCACTCAATCCATATCTATTCCTCCTTACCGTATGGCTCATCCTGAGTTGAAGGAGTTGAAGGAGCAGTTGTAGGAGTGGCTTGATTAGGGCTTCATTAGGCCCAGTGTGTCACCTTGGGGTGCTCTGTCTTGTTTGTGAAGAAAAAGGATGGTTCTATGCGTATGTGTATTGATTATCGCCAGCTGAACAAGGTTACAGTGAAGAACGGGTATCCATTGCCTCGCATTGATGATTTATTCGATCAGTGCCAGGGTGTTTTCCAAGATTGACTTGCGTTCTGGCTATCATCAGTTGAAGATTCGGGAGCCGGATATCCCGAAGACTGCTTTCAGGACCAGATATGGTCACTATGAGTTTCATGTCATGTCTTTTGGGCTGACCAATGCCCCCACAGCCTTTATGCATTTGATGCACAGTGTATTTTGGCCTTATCTTGACTCATTCGTCATTGTGTTTATTGACGACATTCTAGTGTATTCCCGGACTCAGGAAGATCATGAGCAGCACCTGAGGACTGTGCTTTAGACTTTTAGGGAAAAGAGGTTGTATGCAAAATTTTCTAAGTGTGAGTTTTGGCTTGATTCAGTGGCATTCTTGGGTCACATAGTATCTAGTGATGGGATCAAGGTAGATCCGAATAAG